GGAAACAGGCATTCTCACACGTTGGTGGGAGTACAAAATGGAATATTTGGCAATATCTAAAACAAAACTGCATATGTGGTTCTCTTTTATCCAGAAATCCCATTTCTAAGGATTTACCATGAAGTACACTCCCAACAATAGGAAAATACATTTGCATAAGGTTATTATCTTCATTATTTCTAATTACAAAATATCGTAACTGCTTTTTGCCCGACATCTTAGCGAGGCCTCAGTGGTAGCAGCTGCCCTCCGAGCTTGAGATGCCCCCAAAGACGGCAAGAAGATGCCAGAAAGTCGGCCACTAAGGACAAAGACCCGGAGAACGATCTAAGGGCAAAGCCAAAAAGAAGTGGTCCAAAGGCAGAATTCGGGACAGGCTCAGGAACCTGGTCTTCGTAACAAGGCCACACGCGGCCAACTCGGTAGGAAGCTCACAACCCCAGTCGTCGCCTCTCACAGACGGAAGATTCATGCTTCCCTGGCCAGGCCAGCCCGTCAGGAGCTCCACAGGAAAAGACCTAGTGATGGCTTTTAAAACAGCTCAAGTAACTTACACGAGAAACACCAGAGGTGGAGATGCCCCAGCTGCTGGGAAGATGCATGAGTGGTCCCACCAACTCCACATTTTGAAAAATAAAACTTTATTAAACCCAATATATGTGTACCTGAACCAACCTCAATGGCTATTACATCAGAGGCCGATTAAGTAAAATATGGTATATCTAATGTCCTCTGTAGCTGTCAAAAAAATTACAGGAGATTGAACTGAAATGGAATGATTTCTGGCATATTGTTAAGTGAAACAAACAAAATACAACAGACTATGTCTAGTATGTATTTCTGTCTAAGAAAGAGAGCGAAATAAGAAAATACATGTGTACCTGTACGCAATAAGAAAAACAGGAAGGACAAACAGAAGTCTACGACATTGTGACCTACGAGAGGTGGGTGGGCATGTGGGCAAGGGGGACTCTGGGGACACACCTTTCTGTATAGTTTTGACTTCTGGAAGCATGTAAACGTTTTACATAATAAAAAATAGCAAAAACCAACAGGGATGAGGAAAAAAACTGAAGTAGATTACAAACAAAAATAAATGAAGCTGACTATTTCTGGAGAAATAATATAACCACACTAAAACAAACTTGAACACAATACTCTGCACAACCTCGTTTAAAGACAAAGTATTGCAGACAAATACTGAACTCCAGGCAAAGGGCTTTTTTTTGGGTATGTGGGTCAGCAATTCTGAGCTGATTTCCTCTGTATCACGGGTGGAACAAGTGAGTAACAGAGGACGAGATGACTGTGCCCACTCGCCGGCAGAGAAGACAATCCAGCATGGAACGGGGGGGCTGGCATGAACTTGGGGCGGGGCGGTGGAGGGCACAAACTGGAGATGCTGTGTGAACTCACGGTTCTTAATTTACGGGTTTGTAAATGTGTATAAAAATCGAGGGAATGTGTGCATGTGTGAGTGTGGGTGGGTGGGTGTGTACGTATCAGTAACACCAGGGTCTGCAGGCCAGCTCACGGCCTCCTCATTCTAGTCCAGTCATAGTAACAAGGGTTACCAAGGCAGACCACAACACTCCCCATTTATCCTGACCTTACTTTCCTAAAGGAAAAAGTTCCAAGAAAGATGGAGATCATTCTCAGACGGGCTTGCATCAGCCCAGGCTGGACAGCCATCCTGAGCTGATGAAATCACAACATCCCTGTAAGTGATACGATGGCCCCTAGATGGGCAGCACCCTTCCTCCTAACCTCCGGGTCCTCGGGAACAGTTCGCCCAGTGATTGCACACAGTAGGCCAGCGATAAATGCTCTTCCTTGTAAACTGACAGACGGACGCCCTCCATGCAGCCAGACTGACTCTTTTCTTCAAGAGACAGGCAGACTCTTGAGTCTTCAAGACTCTTTTCCCTGAGACGTGCAGACAGGACTTGGATTTTGCAGCCAGTTGGCCTGTTTCAGAAAGACTGCTCTCAATACCAACAATCTAAACCTAGATTATACTCGAGTATAAAATACAATATTGCGGGGGCTTCCCTGGTGGCGCAGTGGTTGGGAGTCCGCCTGCTGATGCAGGGGACGCGGGCTCATGTCCCGGTCCGGGAAGATCCCACATGCCGCGGAGCGGCTGGGCCCGTGAACCATGGCCGCTGAGCCTGCGCGTCTGGAGCCTGTGCTCCGCAACGGGAGAGGCCACAACAGTGAGACACCCGCGTACCGCAAAAAAAACAAAAAAACAAAAAAAACAATATTGTGAATAAGGGAGGCCCTCTGTGTTTAGGGACAACAAAGCAGTAAACAGAAACTTCACATCACTGGAAAAGTCTCAGATGATAACCAAAATGCTCTCCAAAAACACCATGTTTTTTTTTTTTTTTTTCTTGCGTTATGCGGGCCTCTCACTGTCGTGGCCTCTCCCATTTGCGGAGCACAGGCTCCGGACGCGCAGGCTCAGTGGCCATGGCTCACGGGCCCAGCCGCTCCGCGGCATGTGGGATCTTCCCGAAACGGGGCACGAACCCGCGTCTCCTGCATCGGCAGGCGGACTCTCAAGCACTGCGCCACCAGGGAAGCCCCAAAAACACCATGTTTTTGAGGGCAAGCACCTTGACTACAGTCAGCACTAAACCCCCAGGGCCTGGCCCTGGCCCGGGACACAGGGGCACTGAAATCTGCTGAATGACTGAAAGAAAAGAACCACATCATCTGTGAGTAGGCAGAGCATCCAGAAAGCCTCAAGGGATGCACCGAGCACTGCTGTTGTACAACACAGAACTCTGAGGAAATACAGAAAGAAGACATACTGATTCCCCGACATCCTAAAAACAACACAATAGCCAGTGTGTGGGCAGTCCATCTTTACCACCATTAGCAAATTACAACTCACACAATGAAAAAAAAATATACTATCACACTCTGGAAGGGAACCAGTGCTCTAGGTGAAAGCTTACAGAAGTGCTGTTACTGGGAGAGCACAAAAAGGTGAGGACCAAACGTGTCAGGTGAAGAACACACCCACCTGCAGCGTGTCATCAACCATGGTGAGTATGTACTGAACTGTCTGCTCTTTGGAGATGTGAGTCATCAGATTTATAAATGTCTTAGCACACTAGAAAAAATGAAATGAACGTTAACCACTGTTTTCAAATGTGCAAACACAACATTTTAATGGAATTTCATTAAAATATTATTTCTCTTGCCTAAATTAGGATGCAGTTATAGAAAATGCCTGCCTTTTACAAATACTGTGATGAAGTATGGGAGGACCAGACTAGGGCTTGCATCAGTTTTTTAATAATTTCTAGTGACGTCAAAACTTTTGGGCTTCCCTGGTGGCACAGTGGTTGAGAGTCCGCCTGCCGATGCAGGAGACATGGGTTTGTGCCCCAGTCTGGGAAGATCCCACATGCCGCGGAGCAGCTGGGCCCGTGAGCCGTGGCCGCTGAGCCTGTGCGTCTGGAGCCTGTGCTCCGCAACGGGAGAGGCCACAACAGTGAGAGGCCCGCGTACCGCAAAAAAAAAAAAAAGTTTATTTTTAAATAGACAGACCTCACCACTATCAACTCTTGATACCGTAAATACTAAGCTACGTAGACAGATCTAATATTATCATTCGTTTTGGGGTTTTTTGTTTGTTTTTGGTTTTGGGGAGTTTTTTGCTTTTACTAGGAAACAGAATACCAGAGCAGCAGAAGTACAGGAATTCGGTACAGGCACTGGAATCAGAAGGCTCTGACCAGTCTCCATCCTATGATTTAACACCTATGTCACAGACTCTCTAGAATTCAACAAAACTGGCACCCACAATAATGTTTCCTCCCAAATTTCTCAGGATTGTTGTGAGAATCAGGGTGAATCATATACGGGCTCCTTTGGCCAATCAGGGCACCGTATCAGAAAATCTGATGGACAGCGGAGTTAGATGTTATTCTAGTGAGAATACAAAGTAGAAAAAAAATTGCTTAAAAAACAGAAAAGTTAAGCAACTTTGAAAATACTGTATACTTTGAAACAGTAATTTCCATGCTAGGAATCTATTCTAATTTGAAAAAATTTTTCAGAAATGCAGAAAAGGATGGAGGAATAAACATACTCAATAGGACATTTTTTCCAAAATTAACAAAGAAAACTAGAGATCCCTCAAATGTCTTCCAATAAAAAAGAGTCTTTAGTTAAATTATGACGCCTACCTACAGTGGACTATCACATGGTCATTGAGAAAACTTCTAGAATGTCTAATGACACAGGGCAGTGTTCATGGTCTAATATCTGAACTGATCACCTGACTGCCTTCAGTCTGAAGCATCTCCTGCTTCTCCTCAGGATTTCTTTTCTTTTCAAATCTTTGAATGAATTCGCAGTCTTCGGAAGAAATCATCTGCCCCCTAGAAAGAAAGAACAAGGTTTTCGTTCAGCAAGAGTTGAAGAGCCACTGGGAGCAAGTGATACAGGACGTCCTACGTCTCTCCTCTCTCTGCGAGGGCTGACACCAGACCCTGGTGTCCCACAGCCCTGCCGTCTGAGTCCAGCCGCACCACCTACTACTCATGGGCCTCCCAGGCCCTGACCGGAGCTAATTTACATGCAAAATGGGAACAAGAACCACATGCCTTTAAGGGGCGGAACTGAGGATGAAATAATTCACATGAGGCGGTTAGCACAGGGCCTGGTCCACAGGAAACACTCACTAAAATGCCACCTCTGGGCCTTAATCCAAGTCTCAGCCTATCTCCGTCCCAAGCCAATTTACTCGGCCATCTAAGTTATCAAGACAAAACCCCTATATACAACTTTCTGCAATCATGTCCTCCAGCATATTCTTTCCTTTCAGACCCAGAAAAATGTGACCAAACCTTCTCTGAAAACACCCCCAACCTCCCAGCAATCAGCCTGCACTCCATCTTCCTCCCCACTCCGCAGTGCTAACTCGTGATCTGAACTCCAGGCCGACCTCTCCCGGCCCCACTCACAGATCACATATATGACACAGGCACTCTACATCCTTCAGGGGCAGAACTGAGGTCACGAATACATACCCCACACACACTCTATCCCCCAGCCAGGCTGATGGGACGATGGAAGCAAAAACAGACACTGTGCCCTGTTTCCATTAAGACTAAGCACTTCACCTATCACAGTTGGTCAGGAGAAAACGCACTCTGCACCCCAGGCTAGACCAAGATAATGACGCCAACCTGTCTGGTTCCAGCCCCAAAATAAATGAAGTCTTTTTTCATAAACCTGAACTCCCTAGCTCAAACAATTTTACCCCCAAATTTGGCTATGCTGACATGTAAAAACATGCCATACCTTTTTAAATAGGACAATCATAGGAAAAAGATGCAGTTTTTCTACCACTGAGAAAGTGTACTATGAAGGTCATACTTGGTGATCTTGAAATTTTGCAGCTTTCTTTTGTGTTTTTATTTGGCAAGCCATTCCTTCTGAAGTCTAACTTCCTTGCATTTGTCCCAAGGAACCTTTTTTTATTTTCTGTGTTTAAATTATTTCACCTGTAATCTTCCTCTGACAGTCCCACAATCTAACAGGACATGGACTCCGGCCCCTTCTGTGATGAGCCAAGCCTGGTCGGGCCCCGTCCTCACAATTCTTCCCCCTGACATCACTGTCCTCGCCACCTCCCCGCCGCTGGGGTGGCTCAGCCCGATGGCCCCGGTCCAGCAGGTTTCCTGCTTCCAATCCAACCCTCCTCCACAGCCCCCTGACCTACAGTGCCAGGCAGCTTTGTCAAACACACCCCCCGACTGTTTTACTCCTTTCATTTGATCAGACTGTGAATTTGAAAGGCGGTTCTACCTAGCACCTAGGCAGAGGCTTTCAACAAAAACTTTTTCAGTGACTCATTAAAACCTATATGAGCACGTCCATGTTACTTAACCTACGTGAGCAGCTGTCTACTCATCTTTAAAATGAGGATAGGGCTTCCCTGGTGGCACAGTGGTTGAGAGTCCGCCTGCCCATGCAGGGGACACGGGTTCGTGCCCCGGTCCGGGAAGATCCCACATGCCGCGGAGCGGCTGGGCCCGTGAGCCATGTCCGCTGAGCCTGCACTCCGCCAACGAGAGAGGCCACAGCAGTGAGAGGCCCACGTACCGCAAAAAAATAAATAATAAAAAATAAAATAAAATGAGGATAGAAAACTTATTTCACAGAATTGCTATGAAATTACCATGAAACAATATGTGACTTATCAAGTACGTTACTTCTTTTCCCAAAAGCTTGTCTCCACGGCACCCCTCCAAGTCCTCTGCTCATTCATGATCTAATCAGGCAGTATTAGCTGCCAGCCAGCTATGTGCCAGACACCTTAACGAACAGGCCACACAGCAATGAACTAGACATCCCTCCCTCCGTGAGCTCACATTCCAGAGCAGAAACCAGAAAATATACAAGCACAAAAGCAAATACTTTTTAAAAAAATATACACACACATATCATAATGCCAGGATTCAAAAGTTTATTAAACAAAAAACTAAAGCTAGGTAGGGAGGAAAGGACATATTTTAGCTGGATTAGAGAAGACCTTCCTGAGGTCACCTGCACAGACACCTGAATGAAGGGAGTTAATGAACCAAGTGATCCAGGAGGAACTTCCACAGACAGAAGTGCGAGTCCAAGGACGCGGGGGCAGCAGGGAGCTGGCTGTGTGGGAAAGAGCAGGAACGCAGAGCAGCTGCAGGGCTGGGGGCACCGGGGCACGATCTGACCTGCACTGTTTCTTAGCCGAAGCAGAGTTGATTTACAGTGTCATGTTAGTTTCAGGTGTACAGCAAAGTGGCTCAGATATATATATAAAATCTAAATCTATATATATAGAGAGAATAAAATCTCTACCTATCTATCTATCTATCTATCTATCTATCTATCTATCTATATATATATATATAGAGAGAGAGAGAGAGAGAGAGAGAGATTCTTTTTCAGCTTCTTTCCCCTTACAGGTTACTACAAAATATGGAGCATAGTTCCCTGTGCTACACAGCAGGTCCATGTGGGTCTGATCCACACTGTCTGAAATGACTCTCACTGCCCTGTTAAAACTGTACCTCCGGGGAACAGTGACAGCAGAGACCCCCGGCTAGGACCCGCGAGCACATGTGAGACGCAGGCAGCCTGCGCCAGGCAGCAGCAGGGCACCTGGAGAGAGGCGGTCAGACTGGGGACAGGGCCTGGATGTGCGGACCTGGGCCTGAACGGGATGTGGACTGTCAGGGACAAGAAGAGAGGAGACGACTCCTAGGTGTCTGGCCTACAGAGCTGGCATGTGTGGGTGCCACACTCCGGCCTGCAGCAGCCTGGGCAGGGCTCCACCAGCCAACCTGAAGCTCCCCGAGCCCTGTGCGTCCTTCTGAGTCTCCAGTCCCGGCCTGGAGGCTCCACCCCTCTGCCCGTGACTCCCACAGGTATCTCCATGTGCTCCCCAAGGACGTCCTCAGTGCTACTGGGTGATGACTCGCTCCCTGCTTTTGTTATCTGGGAAAACTTGACATATGTCTCCATTTGAATGCTCACCACAACGCATTATTTAATTTTTCAGTTAAAGGTTTGCTTCCCCATTAAACTTTAAACTCGAGAGGAAGGACACTATTTTAACTCCTGCACCCTCAGGACAGTTTTACTGGATTCCAGTTTGACCAGAATAGCCACGCCCATTCGCTTATGGACTGCCTACCTGAATGATTAAGAAGTGTAATCACATGTAAATACGCTTTAAGGCACAGGACTTCCATAGTAACACGTTAATGTGTGAGAGATACTTGTCTTTGACACTGGGCGATTCTCCCACGGGTTTTATTCTATCAGAAAACAATGTGGCATCAGGTCCAGCCCCCAACAAGCTGTGAGCGCTCTGGGGCTGGGGGGAGGACATCTCACTCCTACTAGTGTCCCCACAGCCAGCTCAACAGAGGCACACGGCTGACACGTGGGGAGCATCTGTGTACAGACGTACAGAGTAGATGACTTCTATACAGGAAACCCACGAGCTGGACAACAGAATAAAGGACGGAAGTAGGAAAAAAGGGAGACTACGACTTATGTAGTGGGGGGGCCATGGAACAGGAGGAACAGAAGAGAAAGCGATTAAAACCTCCCTGTAACTACGAACGTTCCAAAGGGAATGCCTGCCCGTCAGCCAGTGCTTTACGATCAGGTTCAATATTATTCTATTTAGGTTATGAACAGTCGGGCTTTATAAACATGAAACTCCTTGTCTTCTAGTCTAAAAACACTCTGGACTAAGATTAGGAAACAGAGCTCAAAATCCTCATTTCACAGGGGACGTCAACAATTACACAGATAGAGACGACCAGAGGGAACATCAGAAAGTCCCTCTCGCTCCTGCCCTTGAATCATGGCCTCACCATGACCCACTCCCTTAGACCGGGAAACCAGAAGTCATCCGAGATACTTTTTCACCCTCATACACCAAACTGATCACTAAGATTTTCTCCAGTCTCTCCAATTCTAGCCATTCCCACAACCCGAATACTGCTCTAACCTGTCCCTAGCTCCAGGCTTACTATCCACAAATCTACCCTCTACACTGAGGGAAGAACAATCTAACCAAAAGGCAAATGTGATTATCTAACTCCTGCATAGAACTATCAGTTATTTCTAATTCCTCCAACAGTGAATTTAAAACTGTGTTCCTTGGGCCCAGAAATAGACCCCTAAACATATGGTCAACTGATCTCCAAATGATCAGTTTACATATCTGACTTCCTTACTAGATTATGAGTTTATCTTTTTGTAGCCCTAAAGTCTGGAAATAATGCCTCAAACTTGGCAGGTGGTTATTAAATGTGTAAGGAGTAACTAAATTAACAGAAATAAATGGGATCATTTTTGTACACTGCATATACCTCTTAGAACAAAGCAAACTGCTAAATATAAAACTAAAGCTTTCCCAATTTGTTTTTCAAAATACGCATGCAAATCTTAACTGAATTTCCTTAATAACTCACCGTTATGAATATACCAAAACAAACAGATGTGAAGTAAAGTCAACATGATAAAGTATGGTCAAGGATAAATGAACACTCACTTTAAGATAAGTACAGAACACCCACATGCTAAATCTTAACACACACAAGGAGGGGGAAAGAACTAAAATTTATTGAATGTATTCAACACACCAGTGCTTGTATTCAACTGTGCTAATGCTTTAAATACGTGATTTCGGCAACACTCCCATGGGGTATGCATCCCCATTTCACATTTACTTTAGTGAACCTCAGAGGAGCTAAGGGATTTGCCGAAGATCAGCGAACTAGTAGACACAAGAACCAGAATTCAAACCCAAGTCTTGAAACTCAATCACCTGCTCTTTGCTAGTTGTCTGAGCCCTCCTGCAACACCACCTGTCCCCAGGCTGATCACCAAGGCATACGGGGCGGGGAGGAGTCGGGCAGGCTCCGCCCGTCATCCTCTTCCTCCCTCCAGCACCTGAACACTCCTCCTGTGCTTCCCCATTCATCCAAACAGCACCACTTTCCAGGCAGAGAAGCCCAAAAGTGCTGTGGCCACTGCTGCCTCCCAACCAGAGCCCCAAGCTGTTTCCATCACACTAAGCTGTCTCCCTGGGACAGCTAATTCTTCTAAGGAGGAAGTCTTTCCTTCCACATTTATTAGTATTTTTCCAGTATTTCTCTCACAGAAGCATGACTGTGATAAAGTCTGAAGCCAAGGCACATGATTACCCATGATTCACATCAAAGCAGCACTTACTGAAGGTAGGACCGCCAGTTCACTTTGTTGGCACGAACTTCTGCAGCCTTGGCAGCAATGATGTTGGTTGGAACGGCTGCATCCACGGCGCCCCGGATGTCCATCTTGGTCTAAATTTATGATCTTGAATGTTTTTCTGCGGACCTTCAATTTTGATGCAAGGGAAAACCAGAATACAAGGTGTGATTGTTTTTTTAACAACTACTACTATTATTATTAGCAATAGCATCATTATCACCTTAATCTCTACAAGCATTCAACTCAAATACTAAATATCCTAAATATTAAATAGTTATGCCATTATATTTCAAATCTTGTCCCGTTATGCACTGTTCCATATAAGTGTTCTCTAAAGGTTTTTACTTTTCCATGAAAGGTTTTCTAACTATTGGCACCAATATTGCAGTAAGATTTTGAGTAACCATGTAAGATACTGAATTAAGAAACCACGCTTAGAATAGGCATACAAAATAGGAAAGTATTTTAAATGTATACAGTTGAGATCAACTTTCCTCTTCTGACAGAGAAAAAATAAGAACCTGCATAGTACAGATAGGACCAATTATTTTATTTACATTGACTAAGCATCATTTTAAAGTGGCATATGAAAAACCTACATGTCCTTTCTAACATTATTTACTCAAAACACCCAAAGTGGGAATGCAGTATCTTAGAAAACAGAGCTTTCTTTTTTCAATCAAAATTTATAGCAGCTTCAAAATCAATATTGGGAGAATTTTTTGAAACAAATAAAGATTACAGTTTAGGCTCAGCCAACAATGAGAGACTGGTCTGATAATATGATCCTACAATAATGAGCTTTTAAGTAATTCTCACTCCTAAACTTAAAAGCTTAAGCCTGATTTTATCACGACACAAAATATAAGTCCCGGTTTACAAAATACAAGCTCATAGTTATGACCACACCCCAAATTCTATTCCAGGATCCCAATGACCTTAGTCAGTTTGGAAGCAACCTCTACATCTGAGGATGTGCTGCATGAGCAAACACGGGTCATGCGGACTGGCTGGGCCCAGGTGAAAACAGACTCCGTCCGGGCCAAGCTGGAACCTGGAATCAAGCAGGCTCAGCCCCAGCGGGCCCCTCCTGCGGCGGCTGAAAGTGCCTCAGGGCGGTCACCTAGGTCCCTGAACAACTCGAACCCCCAGCCGGCCCAATCCTGGGGAAAGCACCTTTCACCCGTCCACCCTCTCTCCCCTGCCCTTCTCTGCTGGGAAGGCTCCGCAGTTTCGAAAACCACGCTGAGGCCCGGAAGGCAAGAAATCGGGGAACCGGGGCCGGAGGCAGGCAGGCGGCGCCTGGGCGGCAGAAGCCAGCGCGCTCCAGGGAAGCGGAGAAACCGCAAGCTCGCCTCGCCGGGGTCGGGGTAGGAGTCGGGGACCCGGACCGGGGCCGCAGACGGCACGACCCGAGCGCGGCCTCACCCAGCGGACTCGCGGGAACCTCCAACTCACCCCAAGGCGGCGGGAAGATGCGGCGGTCCGAAGTCGGGACCGCCGCCGTGCTGGGGCGCCCAATCGGGTCTCCTGCCGAGTCCGCAGGCCTGAGCGGCGGCGGGGACGCAGCACCAGAAAGCGAGTGCGACTCGGTACCGAGCGGACGTGAAGGGCCTTACAGGTAGGAGGAAGCCGCAGCTGCCGCAGTGGAACGACAGGAGCGCCGGTCACGTGAGCCGAGGCACGTGACCGCCCGGAAGGCGGAGGCCGGGAGGGCCCAAAACAGCCAGAGGAGCGCCCTGCGCGCGAGAGGGTTTCTCTGAACGCGGGGCTGGGGGCGGGCCGGACACGCGGCAACCCCGCACCCCGAGACCCGGCGGCCCGGGACGGAGTCCGAGGGGAAGGGCCGGGCCAAAACTCACCTAGCTCAACCGTCATTCTGAAAAGTTTAATTTAGTGCTTTGAAATCGGTTGACTTTCACTTGGGTTTGACAAGTCAGTGAAGCAGGCGTTCTTATTCCGAGTCTCAATATGAAACTGATGCTGAGACATGGGTCACAAAAGTTATCTTGCCCTGGGGTTGCAGATTTAGCGAACAGTGGATGTTCCATGCCACAGCTGCAATTATACTAAAAAACCAAAACTATTCCTGTTTAATTAAAATTCAAATTTAATAGTATTTTTAAATCCTGTATTTTTCTGAAAACCCCGTTTTGAGCCGAAGTTTTCCCCAGTCCAGGCCTCAGCTTCCCTCTTTAAGATAGTAATGAGTAACGCTACACTGCAACTAGTGAGCGAGTATAATATAATAGCATATTGTTTTTGATAACTGCTGAAAGAGATTTGTAGGTATAACCAATACATTTCTCCTACAAATGTTAAATTTAGGTCAAGTTTTGAAAACAAAACTAATATTATACACTGATTACAAATAAACACAGTAGGAATAGTATATAATATTGTATTCTTTTTCTATTGCTGCTGTAACGAATTGTCACAGATTTACTGGTTTAAAGCAACACAAATGTATTATCTTACAGTTCTCTAGGGCAGAAGTCTGAGGTGGGTGTCACTGGGCTGCGGATGTTTGGCTGGGCTGAGTTCTCCACGCCGCTCCCCAGGCTCCAGAGGAGAATCCATCTCCTTGCCTTCTTCAGCTTCCTCTAGGAGTTGCATGGGTTAACATCCATCAGCTTCCACGCATTCTGAGATGTTTACGCTCTTAGATGCAAGTCTCTCCATCCTGCCTGTTACACTGACCCTTTAGGAAATGTCCTTATACTTGGGAATAAAGCAAAATAAATACACATTTGTCAATAAGTACTTTACTCACCTTCAACAAATTGTAAAATTCTTTTCTCATACAAACTCTCCTTCCTGCAATCTCCAGGACACTTGCTTTACAGAGAATTCCAGGGAATGCCAGTCAGTGCTGCAGTTCCACTAGATGTGTACACACACACACACACACACACACACACACACACGCTCAAATATGAAAAAATGTTTACTAGGATCTCAGAAGCACTGTGTGTGCAATGTTTTATTAGGAGACTTACTTAGATAAAAATCATTAACAAATTAAACTTAAGAAGATGAAAGAACGTTCATACAAATAATTTTTAAGTAGAAAGAAGTTTCTGAGAGGGAGAATGTTTACAAGTGTGGGGAAAGTGCTAAGAGAAATTAACAAATGTTCAAAGGAAATGTTTCCTCCAATGTTTGACACCAGAATAGAAGATGCAGAAATGAGAGTGGGGAAGTGAGGAAAAGGCTGGTGGGCCTAAATGACATCCTTAAAGAGAAACGCAAACGATTTGGTTTGCAGGGTGGTGCAGAGCCATGGTTTCCGGCCCCAGGGTATGGAGATGTGGAGGCTGGTCCCAACTGTACTATCACATGTAGCCCTTGGACACATCACCTGATATCCCATGCACGTTTCCCCATCCACAAAATGAAGATGATGATGGGAAGGAGGACAAGACACTCTTGGTGTCTTGGTCCCTTCCAGCTCCAGAAATCACACAGGTCAATCTGAGTCTACTGATACCACCTATTCCATTTTCGTTCTGAGAATCCAGAGCCAAACACCAGGTCCTTAGACCCTCAGATCTTCAGTATATTCCCAGGGTTGGGCAACCATCACTGCAATCAGTGTAATAACATTTTTCATCTCCCCTAAGAGAAACCTCTTACTCATTAGCAATCATTCTCCATCTCTCCCCAGACCCTCCTACCCTAGGCAATCACTAAAGTATCAGTACGTTCTGTATCTATAGATTTGCCTGTTCTGGACATTTTCTTATACTTGGAGTTATACAATACGTGGTCTTTTGTGACTGGCTCTTCCCACTTAACATAACGTTCCAGGTTCATTCATGTGGCGGTACGTATCAGTGCTTCATTCCTTTTTATGGCTGAATAATATTCCATTGTGTGGATATACCTCACTTTGTCTATCTGCTCACCAGTCGATGGGCATGTGGGTGGATTCCAATTACTGGACATTTGCGTGTCTTTGGTGAACATATGTTTCACTTCTCTTGCTTCAGTGCATATCTACAAGGGAATTGCTGCCGCCAGACTATTTCCCAAAGTGGCTGCGTCATTCTACACTCCCACCAGAAGCGTATGAGAGTCCCAGTCGCTCTGCATCCTCACTATCACTTGTGATGGTCTGTCTTTTTTACTAAAGCCAACGTGTTGGGTGTGATGTGGTATCCATTAGTGATTTTGACTTGCATTTCCCCAGTGGCTAAAGATGTGGAGCATCTTTTCATATGCTTTTTGGCCATTTGCATATCTTCTTTTGAGAAATGTCTATTTAGACAATTCACTCATTTCTAGTTGTTTTTTTTAAGAGCTCTTTTTATATTCTGGATACAAGTCCCTTATTATGTATGTATGATTTGCCACATTTTCCCCTATTTTGTGGGTGTCTTTTCATTTTCTTCATGATGTCCTTTAAAGAGCAAACGTTTTTTATTTTGACGAAGTCAAGTATACCTATTTTTTTCTTTTGTCACTTGCGCTTTTGGTATTGAACCTAAGAAGGCTTGGCCTAATCCAAGGTCACAAATATTTTCTCCTATGTTTTCGTTCAAGAGTATTATAGTCTTAACTCTTATATTTTAGTCTATGATTCATTTTGAGTTCAGTTTTTTTTTTAAATAAATTTATTTATTTATTTATTTTTGGCTGCATTGGGTCTTCATTGCTGCACGCGGGGTTTTCTCTAGTTGTGGCGAGCGGGGGCCACTCTTCGTTGCGGTGTGCGGGCTTCTCATTGCGGTGGCTTCTCTTGTTGCGGAGCACGGGCTCTAGGCGCACGGGCTTCAGTAATTGTGGCACGCGGGCTCAGTAGTTGTGGCACACAGGCTTCAGTAGTTGTGGCTCGCGGACTCTAGAGCGCAGGCTCGGTAGTCGTGGCGCACGGGCTTACTTGCTCTGCAGCATGTGGGATCTTCCCAGACCAGGGCTCGAACCCATGTGCCCTGCATTGGCAGGCAGATTCTTAACCACTGTGCCACCAGGAAAGTCCAAGTTCAGTTTTTAATGTGGTGTGAGGTCCAACTTAATTTTTATGCCTGAGGCCATCCCGTTGTTCCGGCACCATTTGCAGAAAAGACAGTTCTTTCCCAATTGAATTGTCTTGGCACCTTCGTCAAAAATCAACTGACCATAAATGTGTGGGTTCATTTCTGGACTCTCAATTCTATTACGTTGATATATGTGTCTATCCTTATGCCAGCACCCCAGTCTTAGTTACTGTAGCTTTGTAGTAATTTTTCAAATTGAGAAGTGTGAATTCTCTAACTCTGTTCTTATTTTTTAGATTGTTTTGGATATTCTGGGTCCCTTACAATCTCATATAAATTTTAGAATCGGCTTGGTCAATTTCTGCAAAAAAGGGAGCTGGGATGTTGCTGGGGATTGTGTTAGTTTTGTATGTCAGTTTTGGGGGCCTGGGATCATTTTATAAAGGAAACTTCTCCAGTCTGTAGTCCCCAGTAATACATACCTGGGATCCTTACCTCTGTGCACCCCCAGAGCCAGCAGAGGCTACTTGGGCATTAGATACCGTTTGAGAAAAAGGTATTACGGTCTATCTATTTGCACTCTGTTTAATAATCTTATATTTATAAAGCACTTTACAAATAGGAATAGGAAGTATGATGTAGAAGCCAAGTCTTGGCTTAATCATTAGAGGACTAGTTACCGCCTAAGAAAATCACTTCAATTAATTCTATATGACCTAAGTAAAAACTGTAATAATTCTTGGGCTTAAGTTTGGGTATGAGTTTAGCACACATTTCCATCCACAAAGCTGACTGCTACTAAAGTGACCTTTTAAGAGACCTAGATAGATCTGGTGGCTCCTCTGCCTCTTGAGTGTATAGCCCCAAATTGTCAAGTATCACACACTACGAACACAGAACTGTGCCACGCAATCTATTTCCTTTATCATGATATACTAAGCAATATATCACTTGAATCATGTCTTTCAGTTTTGACTTAGCATTCAATTTGAATTAGGAATACACTGCTACCTGTAGAGGGCAGTCGTAACATACCTGGATGCTCAAAATCAGAGGCTCATCCTGGAATAGAGCTAACGGTCTGTGGATAAACTGCTGACCCACAACACAGATAATCCTTTTGCTTCAGTTGATGTAACTTTGCAGGGAGGCGCCCAGCAGACTGAGCAACAGACGAGCACCAGCCAAAGGAAGAGAAATAGAGTGGACCCTGGGCTGGTGGTGTTAAAATCAAGCTACAGGACTCATTTGGAGACTTTATTGTAAAAACATGCCTAGGCTTTCACCAGACAACCAAGAAGACCTCCAGAAACATTTCTCCAGACCATCTATGCGGATAGAATTTCTGCTCCCGCCCAGGGCTGAGGAATATAATGCGAACGTTCATCAAACCATGGAAAATGAAGGAGGCACCATGGCCAGGCACAATGTCAAGGTAAGACCATCTCCACAGTCCGTGACCTTTCTTGACAAGGAAAGGGTTTATCCAGAAAGGATACAAAACCACAAGCAAGCTTTAGTGCCAGTGATCACTCTATCTTATTGATGATGTATCAAAAATGCTTCCAAACCAAACCCAAGAGAAAAACTAGAACCTTAATAATTACCTGATCCTTCCAGTTTTCTCCAATCTAAACAACTTCCCTTTACCAAGGCAAACAATCACATTTTGTTTGTTTGTATGTTTCAGGAGGTAATGTTTTAAAAAGCAAAAAACCTAGACATAGATTTTTGTGGTTCTTGATATTAACCCTTAGATATTTTTCTCTGATATAAAAATTATATCCCATATAGTAATGAAAAGCTTTCTACAAAAATTGCTCGAGAAAACAAACTGATAAACTAATACAGGCACATAAGAACATTAAGGGGCTTAGGGGTTTTTTTCCTAAAGTCATAGTTTCCTAGGTGAATTTCCTAAGCATGAATTCTGCCACTAGATAACATGATTTCCCTAAAGAGTAAGCATTTTCCTGCTCAGTATTGTGTGTATCTTTGCAGAAAGTACAGTTTAAGTCTGTAAATCCTTTTAACTATAAATAGAACCACCTCTTAAAAGGTTATTCATATGGAGGGAGATGGGCACGTGTTAATACCTCTGACAAATAATGATCAGAACTCAGAATTAAATGCTGCAAATCCTACGACAGCAAAAACCTGTCCAAATCCTGTAGCACTAGAAAATCTATCTGTCCCTATGCTCATATCCTCATAATAATCATTATTTATTTGTAGACTCTAATTATCTGGATCTGCCCTTTCCCCAATGTTATTTTAACCAACTGGCACAAGGAGAAGAAAAATTGTGGGTTTTTTTAGTCATCAGGAACCTTTTTCTGTAGGAATGTACTGACCTTTACTTTTGAGCTTTCAGACAAATAATACATGAATTTCCACACCTCCTCCTATCACCGAAACACTAGGTCTTTAGGAAACTAGAATGAAATGGGGTAGAATGGCCAGAAGTCCTTAATTAATGGGCATCTAAATGAAGGCAACACACACAAAAGAAATTTCTGAAAGGTAGAATTTGGAGACAACTCTGAGGGAGCAGGCAGCAATAACAGTATATGTCATGTGTGCATATATATAATATACATGTATGTATATATATAATATGTGCATACACACATATAATTTCAAAGTTCTAACTGCCTTGGAGAGTATGCTTTAAGCAGAGTCATAGGCAAAGGACTGGAAAGTATCTATGAATGTGCAGTACACATTCCGACAGCATCCTGGAATCGACAGCCCTGGGGCGCTGGGCCCTCCGAGCTGCCATCCTGACCTCATTAACCCAGGTACTCAGGTCCCAGCCTGTGCAGCAGCAGGTGCAAGCAGTCAGGAGTGATCCAGTGGGATGCGACTGGCCTCTCCACTCAGTGTTGCCTTTTTCTATTGCGTCTGAATACAGATGCACATTTAGGCGGCCATGTCCCTCATCTAGCAAGGATCAGGATGGTAGAACGCAATGCATTTAATTCTACAAATATCACTGAGTCCTTACTATCTGCAAAACCTTGGGCTAAGTTTTGAGAAAGAGAAAGATTTTGTCCTTCCTCTCTGCAGACTCACAGTGTTATCAAAATTGCATCCTATCAGCATGAGTCCTGTCAATACTAGAGGCCATCTATGTGATTACACCCTTTCAATCAGTAAGGCAGTAAGACACTGAGATGGAATATGATTGATATGGAGTAAAACAACTGAAAAAGGCCTAATGAAAGAGTGGAAAAGGTGACATTTAAGGTAGACATGAAATAATATCTAGAAATGGAAAGAAGTAAGCAAAACATGGGCTGAAATGTGTCTAGATGCCCAGAGACCACGGTCTTAAATGCACAACTATCTGTAAAACTGTAAAACTTTTAGGAAAAAATGATAGGAAATCTTTATAACCTAAGGCAGGCAGAGTTCTTTTTGTTTCTTTTTGCGGTACGCAGGCCTCTCACTGCTGTGGCCTCTCCCGTTGCGGGGCACAGGCTCCGGACACGCAGGCTCAGCGGCCATGGCTCAGGGGCCCAGCCACTCCGCGGCACGTGGGATCCTCCCGGACCGGGGCACGAACCCGTGTCCCCTGTATCGGCAGGCGGACTCTCAACCACTGCGCCACCAGGGAAGCCCAGGCAGAGTTCTTATATAGCAAAAGCATAGTTCATGGAAGAAAAATTGATAAATTGGATCCCATCAAAAATAAAAACCTTTGCTCCGCCAAAGACCCTATTTAAGAGGATGTAGAGACAAGTTTCAGACTTTGAGAAAATATTTGCAAACCCCACATCTGACAAAGACCTTGTAATTAGAAATATAAAGAACTCTCAAAACTCAAGAATAAAAAACCCAAACATTCCAGGTAGGATGTGGGCAAAAGACGTGAACAGGCATTTCATCAAACAGCACACACAGATGGCAAATAAACACATGAAAAGATAGTCAGCATCATTACCACTAGGGAAATGCAAGCTAAAACACAATGAAATATCACTACTCACCTATCAGAACGGCTAAAATGAAACATAGTGACGAAACCAATTTCTAGATCACTCAAAGATTGCTGGTAGGACGGCAAAATGGTACAGACAGTCTGGAAAACAATTGGGCAGTTTCTTACAAAACTAAACATGCAACTATCGTACGGTCCAGCAATTTCACTATTGGGCATTTACCCCAGAGAAATGAAAACCTATGTTCACACAGACTCCATATGCTAATGTTCACAGCTGCTTTATTCATAATAGCCCCAAACTAGAAACAACCCAAAAGTCCTTCAAGGGATGAAGGATTAAATAAACTGTGGTACATCCGTGCCATGGAACACGATGAACCAACTAAGAGGAATCAACTACTGTTATGCAAAAGGAATGAACTACTGACACTGCCCCTGGGCTCAGTCTCAAGGGAATGAGGCTGAGTGAAAAAAGCCAATTCCAAAAGGTCACATTCTGTATGATGCCATTTATATAACATTGTTAAAATAAAATTATAGAAACGGAGAATAGATTAGTGACTACCAAAGACTAGAATGGTGAGGGTGGTGGATGCAGCTACAAAGGGGTGGTTTGAGGGAGCTTTGCAGGGATGAAACACTTCTTTATCTTGATTTCGGTGGTTACACAAACCTACACATGTGATAAAATTGCATAGAACTACACTCACACACACACTTGTGAAATCTGAGTAAGCTCTTAGAATTGTACCAATGTCAGTCTCCTGGTTTTGATGTTGTATGACTTATGAAGTTCCCATTGGGCGAAACTGGATGAAGGGTGCATGGGACCATTGTGTACATCCTTTTTTGGAACTTCTGGTGAATCTATAATTATTTCAAAATGAAAAATTAAAAAAAAGTAAAAGCCCTCCAAAGGCAGGTTAGACTGAAAACAACAACACATTTGTGTCGCATAAATGTGTTGCCTACATTTATTGTGGTTCTTCCTGTGTTCTTTTTATTTGGATTCTTAACCAATTTCATTAGGTCAGTAGCACTGATGTCGTTAGGCCTGTTTTAGAGATGAGAAAACAAGTTTGGAAAAACGTTTGGTTACATGTGTGAAGTCAGCTGAGTGGTGATTTGAACCTAGGTTTTTCTGACACTGATTTCATTACTAATTCGATAGATTCTGGCAGTGCTTTAGAAGCAGGCTATAATCTCGTGGGCTTGAAGCCAGTAGCCTCAATAGTGATTTCTCTGTGCATCCTGCCCAAAGCAGCCCAACACAGCCACGAATTTACTACAAAATAAATTAATATTCCCCAAACATACACACGCGCACACACCACACACACACACACACACACACACACTCACTCACAAACTTGGCTTCGTCAGAATTCTTTTTTCTCCACAAGGATTTTTGCTTCCTTCCATTCAGGGCACAAAGTACAAGCGGAAGGTGGGGTGCTCCCTGGACCAGTCCCTCTTTCTAATAATAAACGTGAGAGAGAGGAAACTTTCCAGCCACACTGGCAATAAATCAAGTCATCTACCCATCCATCTATCAATACAGATATATACGTATATGTGTGTGCATTCCTTCCCAGTAATAAAAGTGGTCAGAGCTTAGACAAGAAAGTGTTCTACACAAAATTATTGTTCATATCATTTCAATGTCGATGCCCCTCTAAGAGTACAGACTCCTAAGTGCTCTCCTGTTCCAGATGTGTGACCCCTTGAGCATCTGATCAAAGCACTTGTTTTGAGACATTACACACTAAAAGGAGAGAAACCAATTCCAAGGCCCCAAAGGGCACCTATGAAGACAGCGGAGCTTTGTGTGGCAAAAAGGATAGAAGAAAGAAGAGAGGAAAAAATATCTTAGTGAGAAAGGAATTATGCTTCTAGTATCCAGCACCTTCACATTAACGTATTCAGAAGACAAAATTGTTCTGTCCTGCCTCCAGTTGTGAAAGGGTAAGTTCGCTGAGAAGGACAAAGGTGGTTCTTATCTTTCCGAAGACCCTCTGAAAAGAATTCTGTACTAATCTGCTGAACACCTGAGAGGCTCACAAACCTGCTTAGGGAAAGGCTCATCTGGAAGTTTGTCGTGGTTACATCTCCCGTCCTTGGCGCGCACGGGTTAGCCGGGAATCCTTGGGTTCCTACTGCAGGTGTTTCCAGGTGAGCAAAGGCAGGAGGGGTCACCAGCCTCCAGACTCAGGGGCTTCTGGGAAAATGTGATTCTTCCTGCCCGTGGGAATATCATGTAAAACCCAGTGTCAGCGTCTTCATTCTCCACAAGATTTTTCTACTCTGAAAATAACTATACCAAAGAGATCCACATCAGTCCTATTCTTCAAAGTTTTAGATGAAAACTTTTAAATACAAGTTTTGATCATGTTTACCAACATTTTTAAAATTTAAATAATTGTCTTTCAGGGTTTTACATTAAAGATTGGGTCTTCGCCGCTGGATTATATTTTTAGAGGCAAACATCT